TCCTCCCCACCAAATCCTGAGACTATTACATCTTCAGAGGTGCGGGTGGAGGGGTTCATTATTTATCCACCCTTTTGCTGCAAATTCCCTTCCTGGTCACATCTTAGAGCAGCTACCCTTTACCTTTTTTTAAAAAAAAACATGCAAATATAAGTAGTGCATTTAATATCATGTATAGTTTGGTCCTTTGTGTTTAATTTATGTGCAACATTGCACACACAGAGACATACAAACACACATACACACACATAAACACAGGCATTGTTGCATGTTTATTACACATAGAAGACCAAATTATATATGATAGATGAATCATTTCTTATACTACAGACAGACACAGATAGATAGATAGATAGATAGATAGATAGATAGACAGACAGATAGATAGATAGATAGATAGATAGACAGACAGACAGACAGACAGACAGACAGACAGACAGACAGACAGATAGATAGATAGATAGATAGATAGATAGATAGATAGATAGATAGATAGCCACCAATTAAAGTCTCTTCTAGTGAAATATACCAAATGTCACTTTGATGAGTTTAAATACTGTTTCTCTCCACTAAAACACCACAAAACTGTTAGATATCAAGTAAGCCTGAGTGAGGAAGGGCAAGACTCAGAGCAGAAGCACCATTTGATTTGCTGTGATGGTGCATTAGTCAAATGAACTGAAAAGATCTTGAGGAAGGCACCCCACAGCTGAGATGCGCCCTGCGCGTTCCCCTTCTCCTGTTACGTCTGTCTTTGTTTTCTGATGTTAAGTGTCTTTTTTCTTTTCTCTGCTCATGCAGTCCCTTTGGCACTTCTAAGGTTATCTTTGTTGGCTTTGCCATGCCCTATATTGCATTAAAGCTTCTTAGCCTCCTTTCTAAAGGTCTTGTCTTCTTTTGTCCCTTGTCTTCTGGCCTTCCATTAAGCCACACATTTGTTCCACTCCAAGGGTTCCATTCCCTTAATCAATCCATGTGTTCAGGACTCCTATAGAGGTCTTTGTGTTTGTTCCCATGCTAACCCTCCTTCGCTTCCCATCCTCCGCCCCCCCCACCGCCTGCCCCTTAAGCTTGCTTTTACTCTCTCCAATCCCTTTTGATAATTTGTTCTTAATTTGCCCATATTTAAGGCCTTCTTGAGAGATCTACTTTTGTTATACTGCTTCCAGGGAAATTGGTTTAGAAGTAGTCTTGTGTTTTTTTTTTACCTAGTAGCCACTTTTAAATTTTATTACATTTTTATTTATCTGTATTTACCACTTGTTGATGCTGAAATCAGCTCTGTATTTTGGGCTGTACCTACAGACTTGCAATTTAGCCAGATCGACAGGAAAGAGAAGGTGACAGGCTAGGAGCATAATCTCGAGTGAGAAATGGAAATGACCTAAGGAAACAGGGAGCAGCCACTAGAATGCAGGAAAGAGAGGCAACTAGCTTTGAGGGAAATCGGGAGGAATTACATGATCTAGAAAGAGACAGAAGATTTGATGAAAAGAAATGGGAGGGAAAGGCAAAAAAAATGGCTGGATAGCTTAGTGGTTCAGGTCTCTGACTGTAGAGCCGGAGGCTGGGAGTTTGATTCCCCACTGGGCCTCTTTGACAGGGGTTGGTCTCCATGATCCAGAGGGTCCCTTTCCAGCTCTGCAGTTCTAAGATTGTTATTATCATTATAAAGCTGGCAACTGAGCATTTAGGGCAGAAAGAGTGAGACATGGCATTTGAAAAGAAAAAAAAAGGACAGGGTTTGCACAGACAGTGAAGCTACAGTAAATATGTTCAGTTTCTAAAAAGTTTTATTTGGTTTTGTGTTTGAATTACAACCCTCCCTCTGGGCTACTGATTTTAGAAGGTAAAGTATGTGGATTGATTAAAACTGAAGGAAGATGTGGATAATATTAAATTGTATTCACCACCGCTACCACCATCTCTGAACTTCTTCTCCATCATTCAGGCCCTGATATAGCAGATCAAACTGACACACAGAATTTACAGAAATATGTTTCTTATCTATAGATACCAAATGTGTTTTTAAAAAATGGCTATGACAGTGTTGTATTTTCTCTTAACACAAGAATTTGGAGAAAACATTCACTTTATACTTCACATACGCTTGGAGGAGTTTCTCCAACCTCCAGTGTTTGGCAAGCATGATTCTAGATACCGTAAAAATCCAGAACAGAGATTTTTGGCATATGGTAATAACATCTACAACAGATTCTAAATCTGTGAGATCTTCTCCCAAGTATTGTTCCAAATATTGCATTTCAAATAGACCACATATGGCAGGCACACACAAATGTATGTTCTGTATGCATTCATCTGTTGAAACAGGAGACAGTCCATGAAAGAGTATGCCACACCGAATTAGTCTTTGAAAGTGTTACAGGACATATTTGAGGTTTTTTTTCCCCCTCCTGTAATGCAGCAAATTATCCCTCCAAATACCTGCCATTTTGTTTCTTAGTATGTAGCTGTTAGTGAAACTCAAGCAGAAAGCAGAAAAATCTTCACCTTGGTTGTAATAATTCTCTTGTCACCGTTTACTGGATGCTTCTGGAATTAGATAACCTGATGTACAGTTTGTTGGTTCTCTCTTTATCACCACAACACTGCCTTGACCCTCCTTATTAGAGATCACTATACTATTTATTTTGTTTATATAAAATATTTTACCTCAATTTTCTCCTTTAAAAGGACCCAGGGCAGCTTAAATCATTAAAAGACCATATTTAAAGCTAAAAACAGTAAGTATACAAATACTAAAAAGGATTATATAAATGTCAGTCTAAGAAATGGTAAACAAAAGCAATACCAAAAACACATTCAAAGTAAGGCACACAATCCATTTAAAAAACCCCACACAGGAAGCCAGTCACTGAGGGAAAGGTTGCCTGAAGAGAAAGGTCTTTGCCTGCTTGCAGAAGGACAGCAAAGACGGGGCCAGCATGGCCTCCAGTGGGAGGGAGTTCCAGAGCCTGGGAGCAGCGACGGAGAAGGCCCTCTCCCATGTCCTCACCAAATGCACCTGTGAGGGTGGTGGGACTCAGAGAAATCTGTCTCCTGATGGTCTTAATACCTGGACAGTCTGTCATAAAGGGACATGCAGTTTTTGAGACAGTATGGACCCAAGCCATTCAGGGCTTTATAGGCTGGAATCTGTCTCCTGATGGTTTTAGTACCCGGGCAGTCTGTCATAAAGGGACATACAGTTTTTGAGACAGTATGGAGCCAAGCCATTCAGGGCTTTATAGGCTGGAACCAGCACTTTGAATTGTTCCAGGAAATGGATCAGTAACCATTGGAGCTGCTGTAATGGGGGTGGCTGGAAGGTGGTTATGTGATCCCTATAACCAGCCCCAGCACAGCTGAGGCATGCCCTGGACAATTAAACTGTAATGCCCTATTTTGTACCAACAAGAAGCCTTCTCTTTCTAATCTACTAGCAGACACATCTGTTTACACAGATGCACCAGGATTACAGTCCTATTCAGGTGTTTGCCTGAAATTTTGGGGTCTATAAATGAGTAGATATTTGGAGATGGTACAGATTGCTCTCTCTAGGTCGATTAGCTCCCAACCTCCGCATCTCAAGGAGGCAAGTCTGATGGCGCTGCATGCTTGCATTCACTGGAACACAAGTAGAGTTACATGGCTCCATGCAGCCAGGGATCCTGGTGAGGCAAGGGGGGCGCCCATGGGCAGCGTTCTTCTGCCCCTGTTCAGAGGAATGCGAGTACCATGTCCCTTTGTCAGACCTTGCTGCCCAAGCTACTGAAGTCAACGGACTGAAAATTGGGGCCAGATGGGCACAGGGATTTAGAGTATAGGATCGGCATACTCAATCCTGTACCTCTGTCTACATGCTCAGGAAAACACATGGCACTGGGAACATGCTGTGTTGTGTATAGAAGTTACATGGAAACATGTGCACTTAAATCCCAGCGGAAGGTTTATACTGTGAAAAACAGCTTGAGAAGTAAACAGTTTTCCGTGGAGAAGCAATGGGAGAGCTTTCCTCACTCCTGCTCAGCTGCTCGCTATATCCACACACACACTGTTCCGTGTGTTTATTCTCACAAACATATGTCTAGTAGGGCAGCTTGATGGTGGAATTGCAACGTGAAAATTCTGGGTGGGAGAAAACCTAAGTAGCTTTCTTATGTCTCCACTGAAAATCCCCTTCTCAAAGCTGGCTTTCACTTTGTGAAGCTGCCATTGGCATTAAGACACATGTGCTGGCATGTACTGCTGCCTTATTGCCAGATTGGCAGGTTTTATTCTGATTTTCGGCATGGCACCCAGAGCCTATTTAGGTCAGCTGGCCTAAACTGCATGCTTTTATTTTTTTTAACAAAATCTTTGTTTCTAGCCCTTACAGACCTGGAAATATAAGGCAAAACATTTAGTTTTCAAGAAACAAGACTTCCCATGCAACCAGTCAATGGTTTAAATCCTGTTGGTGTACATTTATGTCACACAACCGGGATGGTGTCATTCATTCAAATCTTTAATTGGATTGAATTTAAAACTTCCAAACCACTCCCCTTTCAGGATCCTTAGGGATCCCCTTTGTCTTTGGGAGCCTTTGGGTTTGTGTGGGAAGGGGAAAGCCCCTCGTATGGGAAAATCACAGCTGGATTGAACAGCGTGAACTTCCAGCAACAGGATTTCCACCACTGAGTGGTGCTGTCCACAGGATCCCATAGACAGATGAACTAAAGACTCATCTTCTAAGGATAAATATTACAATTATGAGAACATTTGATCCTAGGTTGTTTGCAAATAGTTAAAACCTAAACTGGGAAAGTGGAACTGGAAGCCCTGGGTTGGGCAGCAGCTGAGAAAGGTGATCACATTATCTGACTTTATGACCTGATTTCTATCTGATATGTTGGAGCAGGATGTAATAATTAACAAGTCAACATTGCTGGCCTACTGATCTCACAAACCCTCTAATACTCAAAGTAATTCTGTCTTCTTTCTTTGGTTCTCCACTTTAGGGACTCACCACGCATCCTTATCTGAAGCTCCACATCGTCATGGCATGCCTGCACGAGACCCGCACACCCTCGCCTTCCTTTGGCAGTTTCAACACTATCTTGACTGAGAGTTCCCTCCGCAAGCTAGATCCGGATGCCTCTGACTGCACCCCGGAGAAGGACCTTACGCCGACGCAGTGCGTGCTGAGAGATGTGTTGCCCATTGATGGGGGTGGCGGTGGAGGCAGCGGGCAAAGCCCCACCCCCAGCGAGGAGACCCACGACCAGTTTGCCAACAGTGTGCTACAGCTCCATGAGCATGAAGCTGGTGGGGGAGGAGGGGGAGGTGGCGCTGGCGCAGGGGCCGGCGCAGGGAACGCCGAAGTGCGGCCTACCCGTTACCACGCTGACCAAGTTCGGATACACTGCCAGTCGGGGAGCGGCTTCCTAGAAGGCCTGTTTGGCTGCCTCAAGCCCGTCTGGACCATGATTGGCAAAGCGTATTCCACAGAACACAAGCAGCAACAAGAAGGTGAGAGGGGATGGCGGGCTCTACGAGAATGACGGGGTGGGCAGCCAGGCATTTCAAAAACTAACCATGGAGCATCCATGAGCAGCCCAGAGCTCAGGCTTTGACTCACAAAGGAAGGAGTCATCGCCCGTTGGCAAAGTAGAATACTTATACAAGACCAAAATGGAGGGACCCACGGTGTGATCAGTTTCAGCTCCAGGTATGTTCTCCCCTGTGGAGGAAGAGGCCAATCAGAGACACTTTTGTCCATAGGAAATTTAGGAACCCAATAGGGGAAAGGTCACCCGCTAAACTGGTTTGTTGGCTCTGTGATCTTTATAGTTCATTGCTGTTCACAAGAACTTGGTGGCTGCTGATTCTCAGGTGGTATTCATGCCCTTGAGCAGCTTTTACAGCTTCGATTTATATAGATCCTACCATTTTGAATCAGAACTTTTTATTAAAAAAATATTTTTTTTCAGAATGTAACTCCCAGAATCTGCACTGACTGGCCATGTTGGATGGAGAATTCTGGGAGTTGTAGTAGAAAAACATAGCAGCTTAGAAAGCATTCTTAATAAGCTCAGAGGAAAGGGGGCACAGGCCATGGTAACACATAACATTAGTAAAGGGGTTACAGCCATCTGCTTTCTCTAGGGCCACCTTTGAAAAGTGCTTGAAAATGTTTGAGAAGGGAGTGTGAGTGGCAGCAGGTCCCCTTTAATGTGGAATTGCTGTGCTTGGTTTACCTATTTTTTAATGGGGCACCCACATGCCACCATCATCCAAGCCCTGGCATCTCGTTTTTTCTCCATAGTTCTGCTGCCCTTTTTTTTCAGATTGAAGAAAGTCCATGGGCTCCCACCCACCCCTGTCTACCCCTGTCAGATTTTCTCATTTAATGTTATTTTGTACTTTCATCACCATTGTTGTTGTTGTTTAGTCGTTAAGTGGTGTCCAACTCTTCATGACCCTATGGACCAGAGCACGCCAGGCCCTCCTCTCTTCCACTGTCTCCCGGAGTTGGGAGACCCTTTATTTTAAAAAAAGCAGTTAACACCCCTACTAAAAACAGAAAGAAGAGTGCTCAACATACCTTTTATTTTAAAAAAGCACCCCTACTAAAAACAGAAAGAAGAGTGCTGATTGTACAGGTGTAAGATGCTTTTCGCCCTGCCCCCCCGTCTCCAATTTTTGATAAATCAGAAAAGTGAAGTTACTGTAACGCAGCACCCATTCGTTGTACCTCTTGTGGTGGCTGCCATTTTATGACCCTGCGGCACTTATGTCACTGCCCACTGACATGGACACAACATGGCAGGATGTACAGAACTGAAATATTCCTAGCCATTTCAAAAGTCAACAGCAGTTTGACTTGTAGCTTTCAAGGAAAGAGCTGTGCTTCACCTAAACTTGGCCAAGGTCCCTTTCTGACTGCAGCTCCTACAAGAGGGAAGCTGCAGTCCAGAAAGTTAACTTTTCCAAGATCTGGATCCTACTAAATTTTAATCAAGATCTGACAAAACATTTGTTTAGCCTTAAAGGAAATGAAACCATGAAGCTCTATGCGTGTTCCACGTACACAGAATCCTATTGCGGATTGACACTTGCTACAATGTAATGGCATAAACTGTGACTGCAAATTGCTGCTAAATTAAATCTCTTTGCCACTTGTATGCCTACACGTGTGCCAGCCACACCGTTTAGTTTGCAACCAGGAATGTGAGCACCCACTTGTTAATTAGCACACTTGTCTGTCACAGTTGATACTATCGCACCTGTGCCAGCATAAATCCAGAGGAATTCTGACCCTTGTAAGGGTGGGGTTGTGACTTGAAAGTACCTAATGCTGGCTGTGCTGTTTGGGTAGCGTCGCTTTCTCAAAGAACTTAGAAGGGGATGGAGAGTGAAGCCACAACGGGAGAAGAGAGAAGATGAGGAATTTGAGTGAAGCAGAGGAGGCACTGAAAAATAATCCTTCCCCCCTTTCCTGAACAACTGTTGGTGATGGTTTGCAATCCAGCTTCCACGAGAAAAAGAGAAGTTGTGTATTTTGGCTGGGAGTAAGATCCTTCCATGTCCAGCTTGGAAATAAGTCTCAGGGGAACTGAAAGGAACCAAAAGCCCAGATAATAGTTGCTTAAAGAAGGGTGCAGAGCAAAGAATAAGCAAAAAAGGGAAGTTGAACAAAGGCTGGATAAAGTGCGAGGCCTCACAAAAAAAGACGGGGAGTTGAATCCAGCAGTGCCTAGCAGAAGAGTGGGGAAGAACAATCCATATCCCTGAATCAACTGTGTTGACTACCGCTTTCTTTCCCTCCCAATACAGACCCATGGGAAGTGCCCTTTGAAGAGATTATGGACTTACAGTGGGTCGGCAGTGGGGCCCAAGGCGCGGTCTTCCTGGGACGCTTCCATGGGGAGGAGGTCGCTGTCAAGAAGGTGCGAGACCTCAAGGAGACAGACATCAAACACCTTCGGAAGCTGAAACACCCCAACATCATCACCTTCAAGTGAGTGGGGGGCAGTATGGCAGGATGCTTTAAGGAGTTCCTGGGAGCTTTCTGCCTTCAGTGGAGATGGCAAGGTTTCTTTCAGATCCTCTCTCTGGATGGTTGCTGGGCTAGACACTGTGTTTGGGAGACACTGTCTCTCCTCCCACTCTGTAAGAAGCATGTAACCTATTATGTGCCCAGTGAAATTGGAGTGGGGGGACCCTGAGTCCTGCAAACACCCTCTATATTGATTGATTATTTGCCCAAGAGCCCAGGGAACCTAACAATCTTCATAAGCGCAAGCCAGAATCCTGTTAGCAAAAAGCATGTGTACAGGGGCCATAGAGCAGCAGGTTTTTTTCCCCCTCTCTGGTAAGCTGTCCTTTGTGTGACCAGTCACGTTGCTAGTGACACATCTGATTTCACCACCAGCGCATACCTTGTTACATGAAGGAGAGCCCGCCAGACAAGGAAGGAAACGCTTGTCCTGCTGCTCTTCTATGATCATCCATGTAACCAAAATGATCTGGCCACTGTATTCAAACTCCATTGAAATCATATCTCTGAAATCACAAATGAGTAATAAAATACAATAAAGATGTGCCAAAATTAAGCCAGCCTCTCCCATAAAGGACAAACCTATATCCTCAAAGCTTGAGGAACTAAAGCGTCTAAATCACAACAGCTGAGGTTAACCACTGGATGTTCACTGGGAGGAAGTTCTGTAACCAAGGTGCCACAGTCAAGAAGCCCCTGCCACGTGGTCTGTTTTCATCAAGGCCACCACAAGCAGGGCCCTTGTGGCCAAAGTTAAGTCCTGGGATAGCCTTGAGTTATTAACGAATTGACCCATTCATTCCAGGGGCTTGAATTGAGCCTGGCTTGTAACCCTCCCTTTTAAAATTTAACCACGCGTGTCTGTCACCTCTTCTTTCCCTGCACCTTTAAATCACTGTGCAGAAAAGAAAATTTGAACAAGGGCCACTTGCCTGCTCAGCAAAACCTGCTAAGTCCCCCCTTCTACAGAACTATTAAAAGCACTGGAACCCTGTTCTCTTCTGCCTCTAATACCCCCTTCCTACACAGTTGATTAGTCTTTTTAAAAGTGAAATCAGGCACAGTCAAAATGCTACCCTTGAAACCCTCCCCACCAAAAAATATTGGCCCTAAAAATGCAAATTGTGTACCCCAGGGGACCATGGGTATCATAATTTGGCATATAAAAATAACTCTGACCCCCTCTAAACCTGTTTTAGGCCTTAAAAGGCATATTCGCGAAGGCTTTCACGGCCAGGATCTAATGGTTGTTCTGGGTTTTTCGGGCTCTTAGGCCGTGTTCTGAAGGTTGTTCTTCCTAACGTTTCGCCAGTCTCTGTGGCCGGCATCGTCAGAGGACAGCACTCTGTGCTCTGGTGCTGTCCTCTGAAGATGCTGGCCACAGAGACTGGC